TCTATATCTGTTCGTGTCATTATTCATCTTGGTCTTCCTTCTCTCTTCCATCAATTTCGGTATCTCTTCAGTCATCCAGGGTTTTCTCTTGTCTATATTTGCTATTAGTATTTCTTTCTTTATTGTTTTTGTGACTGTGACTTTTTCTCTATTTTTTCCTCGACCTCTGCGCTGTGTTTTACATCCCGTAAGACGTTACTTATTAGGTTCATGGCCTGAGTTCTTTTGGTTCATTGATCTTTTTTCTATCATAAGTGGTTGTGCTTTGTTTTGCTTTCAGTTTCTTCCAATGTACCCTAAATTCTGCTGTCAATAAGTTGTGATCAGAGTCTATGTCCGTTCCTGAATACATTTTGGTCATCTTACAGCTGTTTCTATATTTGTGATTAACCTTGGATTAGCTACAACCAGCTAAAATTGTAATTTATTCTGGAAAAATACATATTATTCCACAATGGTTGAAATTTCGTACTCAGTTCAATTAACAAAATGTCCTGAACATCCGACAGAGAACCCAAAAATGTAATAAGATACAGGTGTTCCATTTAAAATAGTAGTACCTACTTCCGGTAGAACCCGACGTGGTACCGCCATGCACATATTGTAGATGATTTAACCCCAACATCTCTGCTCTTGATGCTTCTAGTTTAAGCTCTCAAAGCCGGACCCGGTAAATGAGTAATGAATGACCGCTTGATGGAGATTTCTTGGTCAAAGGAGACACTAAAATCGGGTGATTTTGCCCCATGCGGTCTTTTCACGTGGGGTCTCAGCACGTTTAATAAACCAAACTACGCTCTTGGGGTTCTTTTGCAGCCAGAGGAACGAATTTTAGAACCGTGCTGTGCAATTGTATATAATAAARATTATAACGTTTAAAGTTTAAACGGATTYATTATTTCAGAAGAATACAAAATATTCTATTTGAACACGATCAATAAAAACAGATTTTTCATGCCGATTTCCTAACAAATAGTACGGTACTGACACAAATTTCGTTCATCATTTCTGTTTTATGGCTTGGAACCAGGGTGGAACCAGGGATTAAGGGTCGAAAAGAGATTAATAACCTCTTGAAGACACCATGAATCATTGACTGGCCYTGAGAAAAAAATAATAGCCATGGMTTCACGCTTCACCGATTTGCAACAATGGATATTTAGGCCTTCAATAGGGACAGTTACTACACTACACACAAAAGGGTGAACGCCTGACTTCAAAGCATCTTCAAACCATGACGAAGTTAACGAATACCAACGATATTTAGCTAACTTACTGGTTTTAAGTGGATAAGTAGTACGTTCCCACAAACATTGATATATCTTTCCCATAAGGCGAGCGATATACGTTTCTGAAGTTTTATCAATTATCTATTGTGTTTAATTGAGTTACATCGTTCCGTTCTTAATTAAATAATTGACTGGTTTACTTCGACGGTTTTATTTATCGAACAATGGATCGAACAGAGTAAAAGCTATGGAACGAAATGAGAATTTATTAGATACGCTATAGATGCTTTATTGGAATCAAGAGTGGTTGGCACTTTTGTGTTTATGGCAAGTGTTATATGTTTATTTTTTTTATTCTATTTTTCTTTAAGTATTTTTAACCGATAAATACTTAACTGCATATAAAGTACTTATCACACAGTAAGTTAGTTTCGGATAGCTGCATGCATATGTTGACTAGAAAAATACAGCCAAAACATCAGTAATTTGATACTGATTTTACACAAACCGAATT